CAAAAAAAAAAAATAAAAACCACTAAAAATAAAGGTTCAGGATGAATGAACATCAGTTTGGAAAATAAACAACTTTAAAACCAATTTTGGTTACATTCCACTAACCAGGTAAAGGTAGAGTGCTGACCACAATATGCAGGGACCTTACGATTATAGCACAAAATGGTGATGAATAATGAAAAATTTTTTATTTTTTTTTTTGGTTAACCGTTTTGAAACAAAAAGATACGTTTTGGTCACTTCCAAAAAAAAAACAATAGCAAAAAAATTGATTTTTACATGACGGGATATCTATCATTTGGTCAAGATTTGCAATAATCAAAGACCGTTTCGGTTTAGTAAAATTATAACGATTGTTTTTTGAAATTAATTGTATCAGCATACATAATTTTAGTGTTGCGATCGAGCTTCCAAGCCCGAGCAAAATGAGAAAATTTAAAATCGAATCGATCTGCTCTAAAAACAAAAATATTAATGATTGATAACATGCATCAAGTATTTGAAATATAAATGATGCGAAGTGGAAATTGTGACGCTCTTGTTGCATAAGAACTGACTTATCCATCCGTTTATTTAAGCGAATCTCGCCACAAACCATGCTAAACTAATGGCCATCTGATTTCAATATTTTTTTTTTTTTTGTGAAAGAAACAATTTATGGTTAAATAAATTGTCTAAACAATCCTATATTTCAAGCGCAACTTTTTGGCTAGACTTATTCCGCCTAGCGGGCGCGTCATCGGATGCCTACTGAACAGGTGGAGTACATTACATTTAAAGTTAAACTCCGACCAAAAAAAAACAAAAGTTTCCGAATAAAGGTTTCACGTAATGATTTATGTATGTTTTTGTGAATTTAAAATCAACTTAAATGTATGTATGTGGTTCGATTTGACATTAACGCCAAATAACTCAGAAATTCCCATACTACTAATGTCATTTTTGCACATGATTGAATTATAGATAGTCGCAAAAGCCTCACTTAAATTGATAAAAAAACGATGGTACACGGACATGATCCAAAAAAAAAAATTTCTTTTTTTTAAGACAAGATAAGACCTAAAATAGCCAAAAATAAGCGCGCATGATGCATAGTGCTCGTGGGTAACGTAACACGAGCAATTCATTGTTTTCCTATTGATTTAGATTCTTTCAAGGATTATTTTCAATTACTGCGGCGTTGTGAGATATTTTTTTTTTTTTTTGACGAATTAAACATATCAAACTTGGCATCATGGGTTATTTATCTTTTTTGATCTTAACCAATTCTTTTGACCAAACAAACGGTTAAATACATGACATGACATGACATTACATTTCCAAAGGAAGCACGCATTTACAAAAAAAATATATATATAAATTTTTCTCCTTGATGATGATGATGAACCACCTTGTTTCAATGGCGTAGAAACCAAGTATGTTTAATTAATTTATTAAAAGGGACGAAAAAAAATCCCTTCCAAATAAATATGCAAGTATGCAAGGGTAAAAACCCTAAAATTTTTTAAAAAATTTATGATCTAACAACGTGCGTTATAGATAGAGTGCGCCAACTAGCATCCTCCACTAACCAATTGATTATGCTTTTTTTTTTAATTATTATTGAAAATCCTGGATATTTCTTCAACCATATGTTTGAACATATCATGTAAACAACAACTCAATAAAATGGAAAATAATCGGAAGGTTTCAAAAATTTTTTCTAAATTAAGCCAAAAAAAGTCTTTAGCGTTATGCACCTCGAGCGTCAAAAAAAACCCCTCCCCTCCCGCAACATCGTCCTTGGGTACGTTTCAAGTGAAATAATACACAAAGGATTGAACAAAGTTACTTTGTGTTCCCTTTAAAGGTAAAAAATGTCATTTCTGCAATGATGACCTAAAATTCATAAGGTTCCATTATACCTACAAATACTGAAATAGGTTACCATGACGCAGTAATTGTTCATGTCTTTTAACACGAATAATCACATATCCATATAAATGCTTTTGTTGGGGTGATACAAAGCTAATAAATAATTCAAAAATTTCAGCCAGGAATATAATCGAGATGGATCACGTGTCCGGTTTATCATGTCCCTTTATCATGCTCTTTGAGAGATTATTTTTTATTCGAATCCACGCGCGTAATTTCTTGATTGCACCTGACAAAAACAATTACGCCGCCCGCAGCATCAAAAGAGTTTTCGGAAAAAATTTTCATTTTACGCCGCTCGAATGTCAAGTGTGTCTTTTTTTTTTTTTTTTACTTGGAGAAACGTCGTACTCCTTTACTCGGTGATTTCCTATCAATGATAAAACACCGTAAAGGAAAAGATATGCTTAACGCAGCAAGGGTTGGTAAACATTTAGTAAATAATTTCCTAATCATTATTTTTGCGTTAAAAAAAATGCTCGGTAGATTAAATTTAACGATCCATTCTATTTTATTAAACATGCCAAATAAAGAAAGTAGCAATGAACACGATCTGTGCGGTGGGTTACAAAGTTTTACGCCTTTGATGAAATCCCATAACGTTTATTTTCATTTCTTATGAAAATAAATATTCATTTCAATTTAAGCCCATATCAGATTGGGTAATTTAAATTCACAAACGATAACTGTTGATTTCAAGATTTTTTTTTTTTTTTTAATAAAAAAAAAATTATTATAGATAATCTATCAGATAAATAACCTTTACTTCACATCTACGCCTTCCTCCAATGGTAATATGTTAACCATGATTTCTTATTCTATTTATCCTATTTTATTTATCTTTTTTTTCGCTAAAAAAAAAAAAAAGAAATTGAATGAATAAGCACGCGTTCATACATTATTGTTTATTCGTTTAATAAGTTTCGCCAATCATTATCTCCGACCATGTTTTTAAATTTTTTTATTGCTTTAACGCACCAATTAAATGAATATTATTTTTCTTATGACCGGAAAAAAAATAATCATTGTTTGAATCAAATTTAGTAATACCAAATTCGCGCTCCTCGTGAAACGGATCGTTTTATTAATTTAATTTGAATGTTTAAAAAATTTAATATAAAAATTCCGCGTGAACGATATATTAGGCGTATCTTTTTTTCATACTTTCGGAGTTTTAAATCAAAATATACTGGATGTTCATCACTCATAATCATGCATGTATGTTCGGAATTTGATGGAAAATGATCTTTCGCGTGATTCCGAATGAAGTTAATTTATATAAAGTTCATTATCTTCTGACAACTCTCGTTGAACTTCGCGTAGGCTGTTGCACGGAGCGTAAATAGAAATAAAAAAGATCGTAACGTGAGGTTTAATTTGTCTAATTAGGCGATGCTTTTTTTTTTTCCATTATTGGCGGATTCAACTTGCATGATACTTTGATTATGATCAGGGGTATCTTATTTAGGTTATCAAGTTTTACCTAACTTATAGATTTAGATTTCTTTGTAACCATATGATATAGATTGTAATGATCTAGGTTTTATTCACGCAAAAATACAAAAAAAAAAAAAATCTCAATCAGGTGACGATTAAACATAATCGTTCCTTTTTTTGTTGCCAAAAATTGGTCGATGTGAAAAAATTGCTACATGTACGGCATACAACTTATCATTGCTAATGTAAATTTTAGCGGGACGTAACTCTAAAGAAGAGAGAATATCACTAGAAAATTCATTAATATTCATTAATTCATTAAAAAAAACACCTTTAATTTGTAATCGCAAAGATTATGTTGAATTTAATAAACATTATTTTAATATCATGTCTAGGTCGCAAAGTAATCAACTTTTAAATCTTTTTTTTTTTTTTTAACAATCCGTTTTATTATTTTGCATAAGCATGTATAAGTTAGAAAAGAACCGTGTCCTATGTTGGGATCAAGGAAACCTATATCCTATGGCGAATGTAAGGAATAACGTAAATGATACACATCTTTTATCTGCTGACAATTATATCAAGGCTTCAATGTGAAAGATGACACTACTGATAATTATAAAGATCATGGAGACCGATTTATTGTCCTTGGGTGCGGAGAATGTGACGTGAACGTTAAATACGAATAAATCGAAATTGTTCTATTCGATGTGACATTCCAAAAAAGCAAATGCAAATTTATCAACTCGTAGGGAATCAACTCATAAAACCTTTCTTGTTCCAAATTCTATTTATCAAATCTATGCTCTCAAACTAATCTTGGTTGCTTAAAGAAACTTTTTTTCTAGTCATAATGGCAATGAACTGATGGATTCATTTCGACTAAAGGAATTTGCTGCCTTCACCAAATGGATGTACCCTTTCTTTACTCTTTTTGTTGTTTTCGAAATTCTTCAAAGGTCATTCTTATATTACTTTTTTGACTTGTAGAATGAACTGTGGCCAAACCTTGTTATCAAAGTCGCATTTTTTAGGTTTGTTGGTCACGTTTAGGAGAAAACGCGAATTACTAACGACACAAAAAATTGCGTCCATGGTGTTATTATTGTTAAAGATTGATAAATTGATTACGTTCCTGAAGGCAAATTTCTTTCACATATGGTCATCCTCAACATGTATGACATTATAATGTATCAGGCACCTATGTGCAACAATATCTTAATCCCATAAATTAGGTACGTAAAATTTATAGGTATATTGGTCATTAATTTGGTACTCATGATGCCATCGAACCACCATAAGTCCATTAGATTGTTTATATCACGATGTTAAAAACCCTATTCAAAATATTAAAAGTATCTCTTATAAGACATTTTTTTTTTTCATGTTTCGACAAGTAATTCTCGAAATATTTGACATTTAACCGTAAAATATTCGGGTGTAACCTGAGATAATGCTTATTTTGCGATGTTATTTATCTTTGTCATTGTGAATTCCTTTGAATAATATGACATTAACACATTCATGCTTATTATAAGATGATTAAGTTTGATTTTTTTTAAACTATGTGCGTTCGATTTATCTGTAAAAAAACGATCGGTCTGTGTAACATGGGCATTCGATCCGGACATATTTAAGCAAATCTGTAAATGACATTTGCCGCTTTCATAATCGTGAAATATGGAATTTTCAAGAACTAAATATCCTAAATATTCTAAACCTGTAATTTCGAACTTGGTTTCCAAAAATCGAGAAATTTTTGTTGGAGGAATCTTTAGAAAACATTTGCAGTGCAACAGTCATATATTTAACAATAGAAGGAGATATTTTGAGCGATTATAATACTATCAGAGATTTAACAGACCGTGCGGTAACTTCTGCTTTATTAAAAATAAATGATGATTCTCGGAAGCTGAAAGTATTAGAGGTCTTACCGCAGGTTAGCGACAAGGTTTTAATATTTACTTTTGATGATAGTAGATCAATAAGCTGTTTGACTTGGTACTCTTTCAGAGGTGAAAGTTCCTAATACTGCTCCGTAACTTCTTTATTCAAAAGAACAAAAATGAAGCTTCTATAGTTCATCGTACTAATTTATAAGAAATATTTTGCGCGAAACTTACTTATATTTCATTCGTTGTAGATGAAATCTGGATATAGAGATATATTAGCGTTGAAAAATGTGAACGCGTTGAAATTGGTATAATAACTTGTTATAATTCATTTTAAAGTTATTATATTAATATAATATTAACCAGCTATATAATATCATATTCTTCTGGATAGGACATTGGTGCAGGTAGAGAAATTTATGAAAGTGTTATTTAATGCAAAAATGTAAATATACCAATACATTATATTTTTAAAAGTATTTAAAATTTGATTCTAAAATTTTATATTTTTATAAAAAAATTTGCATTATCAAATTTCTTTAATTTTAAAATCTTTAAATTATCATTGAAAATTAAATTCGATTTGACCTATAATTTTTGAGAATTTTTAGCAATTATTTGAATTAGTGGTATGATTTTAAAAAAAAATTTGACTTTTTTCTTTTTTATTTAAAATTTTAAATCAAAGGATTTATCTTGATTTATATAAACTGGTTTTAAAACAAATTTTTATTACTATATTATGCATAATTATTTTATAAATTTTTTATAATAAAAAAAAGTTTATAAAAATTAAATGAAAAAAATGAATTATAAATAGCTTATAAATATTTGAAATTATTATTATCTATTAGTTAGTAAATTGGTTGCCAATCATCAGAAACTGATTTGTTATGATATTGTATTTCTGCTACTTATTGAAAATGTCTTGAATTTCTTTTTTAATGTCTGATTTATCTGTAAGAAGTATTTATTTTAGGCAAGAATTATCTAAATACCTATTGAGTATGATTACCTTACACCTATAGTTGAAGATTAAATTATCAATCAAGTTTATAAGGTAATTTAAATGCTTTTTGTTTTAAATTTTTACTTATGTAATTTAGTTTTGATATAAAATCCTAAAAGTAGAAACCTGAAATTAAATATAATAAAATAAATATAATATATGTATTATAATAAATTAATATAAATAATATTCATATCATAAGAGTATACAATTTATTTAACAAACTAAACCATTTATAAGAAATACTATTATCAATAAGACTTTTTTGAAGCTTTTAAAAGTGATATAATATTTTAATTTTGCAATAAATAGCAAATTATAAAACACTATTAATTACTTTAGCTTTGTTTATAGATATGCATAATTTAATTGCTAGAATGATATGAATCTTAAAATAAATCTTAATATTTATTTAGAGAACTGTAAAACTAAATAGTGTGACTATTAATCATTTTTAATTAATAATAATTAATCAGATTGTCAGTTTTCAATTTAAATTTAACTTATCTTTAATTATTTATTTAGATAAAATTAAATAAAATTTTATTGAATATTTTTGATTAATGTGTAAAACTTTTAAAGAATTAGTGTAGATGATGGTAATAACATAATGATCTAATATAATTAGATTAACTTAATGGTTTTACATAGAGTTCCGAATGAGTCGAGTCGAGTCGAGTTTAAAGACCAACTCTATTCGACTCATTTTTTTCGAGTCGAGTC